TGGGGGATTGGTCTGGGAGTAAAAGATGGTGGTCATGGGGGAATGGGAGGAGGAAAGGAGGAGATGGAAGAGGTTGGCATTAGGTTTACTCTTTTACTTCAATTTTTTTCAAAAAAATAATTTTTTTAAAATGATTTAACTGAAAATTGGATGAAATATTGAGAATTTAGAAGGTAGGGGGAAATTGGCAAAAAAGAAGAAGTTCAGATTCTTAATTTTCTATATTAAAAAAAAAGATAGAGGGTTAATCGAAAGTTAAGTATAAATTCAGGGGGCAAATCACTAGTATACTTATTATATCTTAAAAGCGGGAATTTAACTATATTATTCATCTATATTATAATATGTGAATGAATTATAATAAATGACCGTATTCTAATATCATACAATAATTTCTCCAAGTTAAAGTGCAATATTTAGTTACAATTGCAAAGTTTTTATATGTATTTTCAACATAAAATTGTTTCTTGCTTTTTCTTAGAGAAAAAAATTGAAAAAAGTAACAAAATTCGAATCTTCCCCTGCCCTTTATAAAAAATGAAATTATGTCACATTCAACATTCTTTTTTAAATGAAGTTTTAGACTTAACCATTTTTTAAAATCAAGTTTCATCCTCCCATTTGATATTTGTTATTGTTAAATATTTAGAGAGTATTTGTTTTGCGATTTCAGAACTCTGGAACAGCAAAATGACAAAATTCAAAATTTAAACGCCAAACTTCTAACTCTCAAAATGACCCCATTCACATGTGAAGCCTCAAAACACCATCTCCAAATCCCCAAAAACTCTAAATCCATATTCTAAACCTCATAATATCAATACCTAAACTCATTTGGTTAATAGGATTTTATTGGATTGTATTGGATAAGTTAATAAATATAAGGTATGTTGATTTAGGTGCTCTCACTGAACCTCCATAATAAGTTTGTGACTTAACAATGTTAATAATTATGACAAAACTATATATATATTTTTTAGACTTTTTTTATTGAGAGAGACGATATTATACTAAACTCACACACATTACACGAATGCTAGAACTCAAACCCCTTTCATGGGGGAGCAATTGCTCCAAACTAGTGGCGGTGCTGTGCACAAGGCAAGTTGGGTGCCCACCCATCCCAATTTTTTTATTATTAAAAAAACCTACATATGTTAATATAAGCCCATCCCAAAATTAAAAAAATTTAAACCAAACCCTACACACATGTTGCCCATTCAAGTGGTCCCATATCTTCTCTCTCCTCTTTTGGTTATGCGACATCTTGTTTCTCTCTCTTAGCTACCCGATAGCAGCAACTTCTCTCTCCCTCTATTGACTACATCTTTTGTTATATTGGGTGGGCAACTTGGCAACAACATCTTCTCCTCCCTTTTCTATATATCTTTAATTATAGTTTTAATTTAAAATTGAGTATTCTAGGGTTTAATTAGGGATGAATTATAATTTTGGGATTTTATTGAAATTAATTAGAGCTTTGATTTTAGGAATGCCATATTGTTGAGATGCTATTATGAGAATTTGGTTGATTTTTTATTAGTATGTTTGATTAAAATTCTTTCCATATATTATTTATAAGCTATCTTTTATTATGTCGAAATCCTAAGAGAACAAAGAATTTGTTGTCTTTTTTTAAGAAAAAGAATGATGGGTCATATCTAGTACATTGCCTTCTAGCACTTCTTAAGTCTTCCATTGTCAAGCCTCAAGTTGAAAGAGTTGAATCCAAAAGAGTTGAAGATGATTATGATTTTTAATATCAACTATCTTGAGCGTGATCCAGGATTACGTTGTCTAATATGCAAATATCCGGTGAATGAACAAGATAATGTGCAAAGAACATATATTATTGTAGAACCATGCCAACCCGAGTTAGAAGATTATATAAGCCACTTAGACGGGCGGGATTTTCCTTGATTTAATAAAAATTGGTTTGGTCAATTCACTTGGCTTGAGTATTCAGTTACTAATAATAAAGTATTTAGTTTTTCTTGTTTTCGTATCGTCGAGTTTAGTATGTAAGTTTTGCCTGCCCAGCCAATTTTCGAATCTTGGAACCGCCAATCAAATCCACCATTATGACAAAACTACTCTTAATTGTACCACTAATGCCTTTTTAATAAAATAAACCGTGTTCTTTACTTGAGTAATGGTAGAAAACTTGTTTTTGCCTCAAATTATTAAAAGCAAAAAAATAAAAAGGGCCTTTTGGTGCAAAGTGCAAACAGCCAGACACTTCCCATAAAAATCTGAAGAAAAAAATAAAAAGTTCGTTGACCCGGCCCAACCCAACTAAAAATCTCCCGCGACCGCCTGGGTTGCCAACCGAGATGAACACGTGTACGTCTCCGATTTGATTTGAGAACCGCCAGACTCGGCCGTGGACCCATTGACCCAAATATTCCGTCTCCTTCTCCTTCATATAAAACAAAGAAAGGAAAACCTCAACACCTTCTTCAATCCCATATCCTCTCTCTGATCCATCTCTCTCCGATCTCTGAAATCCTTGACTCTTACCCAACATCCCATTTGTCAATTTCTTCATCCTTCACCATGCTCTGACCCTAAAACCCCTGATTTCTAGACGACCCAGAACCCTATTTTCTCAGATTTCACAGCTCTGGTTCACGATCTGGGGTGGTTTTGTGAGTGTTGTTTTGTGCAACGCGCGGGCTTAGGGGTTTCGAAGAGCATACGATAATGCCTTCGGTGCCCATTCAACTCCTGCTACGACCCTTGGTCCCTAACTTGACTTCCTTCCACGGCGGCTCTTGCTCTCATCGTCTGAAACGTATAGAAAAAAGCGATCGGCGTGGTAATCTTAGTTAACATTAGGTTTTAATATCACGTTGGGTTGTTCTTTTTGTGGTTCTTGCTCAGCTTCCCAGACTCCCTGTTTGTTGGGTTTTTGGTGTTCTTCTCGTTTTGTGGTCTGCAAGAGGTTAGATAATTTTGTCAAGAAATCTGAGGTTTAGGGATTGGAGGATCTGTAAGGCTTACAAAGTTTGGTATTGGTTTATAAGTTCTTGGTCTCAAGGTTATTCTAGCTCTGAACATTATACGAGGTAATTAAATTTCACCGACTTTATGTTCATTTTAGTTCAAATCGTTTATATTGGCAGCTGGATATCATGAATTAGATTGAATATGTATTCTTTTCTGCTTGATTATGTGTTTGGGTAACTGGGTTGATTTAATTTCTGGAGTTGTGCTTAACGTTCATTAACATGTGGGTTTTGGCACTATGTAGAATCTGGTATTGTAGATGGACATAAGCTCTCCGCGTGGTAAGTCGGTGTTGAAAAATGTAGACAGCTTCCCAGGTTTGCAGCCCTCTGCGAACCAAGCACAAAGTCCTAATAGTTCGCTTTCAGATCGTTTGGTAAGTGACCTTGTAAATGCTGTTGACGAGTCCTTGAATATCAAAGATGTTGGAGAAGAGTCCTTGAATATCAAAGATTTTGTTGAAGAGTCGTTGAATCTCAAAGATGTTAGGAAAGAGTACGTTGGTATCAAAGATGTTGGAGAAGTGGAACATGCTTCTTCTAATGAGGAAATTATTAGCGGCGTGGAGAAAAGAGACGCATGCGATGGTCCTAAAGCACAACAGGGAAAAATCACTCAGACGTGCTTGAATAAGTGTGTAACCTTTCCTAATGCTAATGGGGTGCTGCCTCGTAATGCCTTCTCAGACATGGCAGAGGAGGAACCCGAAACAGCCATGCGGATGCCTGTAAGTCATCTGTGCTTATTGCGAGAGTGTATTGGCCATAGAGTTGTATACCCCTTCGTTCTTTGCTAATACTATGTTTTCACTCATGGATTTCGTATTTGTCATTGCTACTTTTGATGCTCGTGAAGTATTGGTTTCCCATTAGTCATCACTATCCCGTCTCCATTTTGTCGGTAGTCTCTGCCTAGCTCGTGCAAGGTGCTGGAGCTACTTTATTTATGTGCATCTCCTCTGTCAATTTATCCAGAGAAGTTATAAAAAGAATGCTTCTTTGATTAAACTGCCAGTCTTTAAGAAATATGTGTATATATAGTTAGTGTAATTTTATTTATGTTTAAAACAATTTTGACTTAATATCATGCTGTCTTCTAGTTTTGGATGGATTGAACTGGCTACTTGAAAAGAAATGTTGTGATGGTCTACTTGAGCTTGCGTCCTCAGGTCATCTGCTCATATGTTTTATTGTACTTGTGCAGGCTCCTTCGAAGCTACTTTCTGCAATGAAAGGCAGCCGGGAGAAAGAGGGGTTGTCACCCGGGAAACTTACTGTCACTTGGGCCCCTGATGTGTATGATCCGCCTACTACATCAATGTCGCACACAGTTACAGGCAAGAAACAGCAGAAGTCAAAGAACAAGAAAAATTGGAAGAGAGATGGAAAGAAGGGGCAAAAGGGCAGCTCTTCTCGAGGAAAAGAGAAGAAGCAATATCGCAAAGGTGGGGCTTCCGAGAGGTCTCACAGATATCTGGATTCCCGTGAGACATTGGTTGGCACAAACAATGATTTTGGTGACCTTGTGGTTGGCAGCCCAGACCAACATTCTTATTGTGGGAGCTCCTTCTTGAAAAATTCGCTCACAAGCATGCATTACCCAGTTGCAGAAGCCCTGTGAGCAACATATTTTGTTGCGAGCATCACATCCTACGCTGTGTACATAAATAATTACTACAGTTCTGTTGGGGTTGGTGTTTGAGAAAACTTGGAACAATATGCTACTCTGTTTGTGTCTGTCGTCGAGCCAGTGTGGTGATCCCTTTATATATAATGCGTGGTTTTCTTATGTTCCTTTTGCAGCAGCATTTTGTAATTGCATTTGGTGTAATGGTGGCCTGACTTGTTAATTTCCTGTTTCGATAAATTTATGGGATTCTTTGTTCTGTATGTTGTGTGGGCATCAAGACGCATTTGCCTACATGCTATTCAAAAAGGGTAAATGAATGCATACAGATTTTTAAACCTGTATCCATAAGGCAATTGCATGGTAGAACCCTAATTTCATGTGGAAGAACATTGATTTTAAGCACGTTGGAAATAAAGGTGCATAAAATAGTGAGTTGGGGTTTTGATATTGAGGGAAATGAATCAAGTGCTCATGAAACCTGGAACAGTGTCTTGACATTACATCGTTCAACGAACGAGGCATGGTGGTTTTGGACCTTCTGGTGTTGCATTCACCTCAAGAAAATGCTCAAGTAAAAAAAGAATTGAATAGTTGACTGATAAATATCTCATTTGAAATTCAAGTCGGGAGTTACACAATGACGAGTACTTTATGTTGTGTACTCGGCATTAATTTTAACATAATCATAACTTAAATCACAGCCCCATGCTTGACCTCGTCCCGGACCATCACCTGTTCAAAAGTAAAGGGCATATCAAACACAATGGAAACGAAAGATGTACCAAGAAACTTAAGTTTGCAGGCTTAGTTAGTACTCAGGCAGATGGAAGTAATTAGTTATGATTGTGGTTACAGTTGAATATCCGACTTGCATAATGCTCCACTTGGTTCAGAAACTTACCCACAGATACATTGATTACAACTGTGCCATGGATCTCACCAGCCTTCTTGAGGTAGTCACTGGCTGCACCCCTGAAACGAGATCCATCCAGTCAAACTACTAGGTTTAGAATAGATCTTCTCCACAGAGAGGAAAAGATGGCACGCTGAAAGGGAAAATGTGCTTGGCACAAAGAAAACCTTAGAGTTACCTGTCAAATAATTGTGGTTCCCCACCATCCATGAGCAGAATATCCCCTAGCAATACTCGGAGCTTGGTTTGGTCAAAAGATATTCCTGCATAGCCTGCAGCAGCAGCGATGCGTCCCCAGTTTGGATCTCTGCCATATACTGCAGCCTGAGTGGCATTTGGGAAATAATTTAGTATTTGGTATATTGAAGCATCAAAAAGGTAGGCAGGGTTGGGATATCATGCCTTTACTAGTGAAGAAGATGCCACCGACCGTGCTATTTTTGCTGCTTCAGGCTCACTGTCTGCACCAGTCACCGTTACCTGCAAATCTAGTCAGGATTAGCAAGGCATTTTTGAAGTCATACATGAAAGACCATAAGTTCATCATCGTCAATAAATCAAAGTCCAAATAATTTGCACAGTCTAGTACTTAGATGCCCAGATCCTACATTGAGTATTTTACAACATATCGTTATATTTGTGTGATTAAAGACATGAAAAGAAACAAAGATTAAGGGACCATAAAATCAAGTTGCAAGCTTCAAATTTATACTTTTACATACTTTTGGCATCATTACTGATCTTAAATAAGAATGCAGACCTCAATTAGGCATGTTGCTCCTTCTCCATCCCAAGCTATGGATTTGGCAAGACCTTGCATTACCTGCAAAATGAATACGGTAAAATATGAATCCCAGAAGCCGGTTTTAGACTGCATAAAACAAATCAAATGGAAAAGTCAACTTATTCTTTCATTAGTTTCGTGTGATGTCAGAATTTTGGAGCTCACTGTAAAAAAAAATTAGATAACAGAGGAATGCAAAACTTAAATGAAGTGAAACTAACCACATCAAGGCCCGCTTGAAGTTGTACTGCTTGATTACTGTTGTAGGAAGATATCTTGGTTGATCCAGATAATCCACTAGCTAACGCAATGACAGTATCATTGGTACTCGTATCTCCATCTACCTGCAGAAAACCCATACATGTGGTTGGTTATCATACTACAAAATAAAAATGCGACAAGGTAGGTTGATTACACCACGTGAGGTGTAGCCCCACTAAGTTATGGTGTTCAATAATTGGAAGGAAAAAAAAAAGTGCACACTGTTATTTGGTTAAAGCTTCGGTTGACAGCAACTTGAACCATTTTTCTCCAAACATCACTGCTAACCATTGCATCAGTTGTTATTACCTGTCCATGTAATCATATTAGTTAACAACTCGTCAAACATTAAGAGAGAAACACTAGAAGACATACTCCAAGCATGGTAGCCATATTGGGGTGGATCATCCCAGAGCCTTTTGCCATTCCCCCAATTCTTATATCTGTCCCTCCAACCTGAAAAATTCACCAGTTTTTTTTAAGGACCAGCCTGGTTTCTATTTTACCGCCTACAGGTTTCAAAAATAAAAACATGATATTGCCAAAGTTTTGTACAGCTAATCAGCAATTAACATAATCCAAAAGTAGCAGATATTGCATTCACAACAGATATAAATACAGGAAACTAGATCTTGCACACCTGAGACTGAATTGCCACACTCTTGCTAACGAGGTCGGTTGTTGTGATTGCTACTGCTGCAGCATCTGCCCTGCAGACCAAGGCAAAATGACTTCTCAGGGAGATGATTTAAAAATTTTAAGCCCTTAGGTTTCACAGAAATAGAAAAACACGAACTGAAATTCGATGCTGAAAATAAACACAACCAGGTATATATGAAATTATGTCAGTTATCTAAGTTAAGTTCAAAACCATTAACATTTACCCCTCAGTTGATGCTGATAGTGAATTAACCAGTTTTGGAAGAGATTTTAGAAGTGCTTCCTGCATATGAAAATTAAAAAATGAATCATTTGTACAACATTTAGAACAGTTCATGTTATAAATCTTCCTAAAAATTATCATGCAACATTTATCAGCTGATCTGTTAATATTTCAAGAAATCCTGTGCAAATCAATATGATTAGAATTTTAGCATAACATGGAAACAGGAATATGATGGTTATATAGTACCTTTTTTATCCTTTGGCCAATCACACCAGTGGATTCAATCAGCACTTCCTCAGGCTTCATTTGAAGTAGCTGCAGTACGAAGTTTCATCCTTACAAAGGATAACAAATCCAGCCTATGAAAGAGCATCTATCAGATTAGGGTGTTTGCCACCCTTAATGCCACATACCTTAGCAAGGCTGCTGACGGACTCTATTACATCTTGGTAACCTGCATCACCCTGAGAAAAATGGGAAATTTATTAGCGTGCAAGACTAACTGTAACAGCATACTCAAGAGTATTCAACGGGACAATTGACAATATGCATCAGTAACGCCCTACCGTCGCTGCATTGGCTTGACCAGCGTTTATCAAAACTGCCCGTGCCTAACAAGTTGTAAACACTTTTCGTTAGCAGATCAAAATTACAAAATTAAAACATGAAAAAGTAATATAAAACCCAACACAAACATATAGACCACTACATTTACAATAAGCACAACATCATTGTCTAATAAATAAAAGAAGCATTTTCCATCTCACCGTTTTTGAAGTGTTTAATACTGTTTTGCAGTATAACACTGGTGCAGCTGCTACCACATTCGTGGTAAATACCCCTGTGAGTAAACCAACATAGAAATAGTATAAATTTTAAAAAAGTACAAAATTAATTTGCTCAAAATACCATTACTAAGAAGCATAAACCAAACACAAGCAACTCACCAGCAGAAGTGGCATCGACATCACAAGTGACAAGTGCGAGATCAGGCTTGTCACCTTTGGCACGAAGACCGCCGAACAAACCTGCAGCTTTGAATCCTTCTGCAGCCGTAACTCCGCCGGGAATCTACAGACTCGATCACAGTCAGAGTCTCGATAAAGTTCAAAAATTTATCAAACAAGAAAACATAATTGCAGGGATAAATGTGAATGTAAACCAAAAACAGCGTCGTAGAAAAGGTCACCTGCTTCCAAGGCCCTTGAGGAAGGAAAATGGGAGCTGGTGGAATGTGATTGGTGACTTCACTTGCAGTCATTGAAATAGCCGGAAGTTTGAAGTCCCTCCGAGTCGAACCGAAACGAGGAATGGCGGGGAATTTGATGGAGACGTACTGAGGAACGCATACATACATCTCTGCAACACAACTGGAAGCTACTGCCTTCTGGAGTTGGATTTGAAAATGGCGGTTTTAGGGTTTTATGGTTGAAGTGAGGGGGTTTTACGATCGAAACGTATTTATTTTGTTCCGGCGGCCGAAACGTTTCGAATAGTATAGTCCGTGAGAATTAAGAACTCGAATCGAATCTCCTTCTCACTCTCAGACAATAAAATAAAATAAAATAAAAAGCCTATGTTATTATTTGTCACTGAATGCGTAGAATGATTCCTCGTATCATATGTAAGTAAACACAGGGAAATTCAGTTCTTCTCATTTCCATTACTTGTGAGTAAACGTGACATAGAAGTGAATTGGTGCACCTTGATTGGTAGTTTAAAGTATTTCTTAATGAAACATCCGTGCACAATTGGATTTTGATCTCAACTGTGTTTTGCTTACTTATCTGAAAAGCAATTGTTAAAAAAGCACATCTAATAGACTTTTGATGGATTTGTGCATGTTCATTTCCTTTTGCTACAATTGGCTAGACATGCAAGATCATACAATTTTGTCTTCTGATACTACGAAAATGATATGTCCCTAGCATCAACCAACCACAAGATCTTTCTACGACATATTAACATGTACATTTTCAAAGACAAACAATAACCGCCTGGATCCTGCAAATAAATGGCGAATCTTTACTGCAACAAATATGTAAGTCCAACATGTTAAAACTAACAAGACCTAGATACAATGCACCACATGTCACTTACAACTCCTCTCCGATGTTCCATAAATTCGGGGGCTTTCCACCCTATGAAATTCACTGAATGGGAAGACAATGTTCTTGATTTATCATGACATCTAATCATTCAAGTAATAAGAAAAATAGAAATTTCAAGTATGAAGCACAAAAGAAGGAAGCCAACATTGGCATATAGATTAGAGCATTAAGGTGGTTCCAACAGAGGCCAAAATGAACCAATACATAATGTTAACAAGGTCCCCTGTCCCAAATAATTCACCTAAGTTACCAAGTCCTTCATATTTCTCAATACAAATAACACGAGAGTATTACAGTATTTCAACTC